GATACTGACTTTTGGAGCGATGATTGGAGCGATTACAAGTGGTAAAATTGCTGATTATATAGGTCGTAAAGGGGTAAGCTTGAAGAGATTCTAATACGTATAGGAATATCAACCATTATTTAGAACTTCTCCTCGATAATTTAGGTTCATTTGATATGAAATATAAGCAGGCGATGACAGTATCAAGTGGATTCTGTGTAGCAGGGTGGCTAGCCATTTACTTTGCCAAGGTATATATTTTTAAACTTTCTGTAACTAATTTCTTCTGTGACACTAATGAACGAAAAGAATACACAAAACAAACGTATCTGATAAAATTCCGAATAATAACACCAGGGATCTCTGCCTCTGGACATTGGAAGATTGGCAACTGGATATGGAATGGGAGTCTTTTCATATGTGGTAAAATTTGTTTTCGTTATAGATCAAATGACGCATTAGGACTCCTTTTTTATGATCGATTTTCTTTATTATTAGGTACCGGTGTTCATTGCTGAAATTGCTCCTAAAGATTTACGAGGAGCTCTGACAACTATAAACCAGGTAAAGATGTCCTTTCTTACGTATGACATTGGAAAAGCTAAAACAATAACCGCACGTTTAGTACATGACCGTGTTGGACGCTAAAATGGAACTCTTACTGTAAAAATCTCGAGGACGTTTTCTCAACCAACTCATTTTTTGCTTCTTGATCCACAGCTAATGATTTGTACTGGAGTATCTGTTTCCTTCATCATAGGCACATTTCTAACATGGAGGGCTTTAGCAATAACAGGTGATAATGCTTGGCCTAATTCACATATTCTGTTATAAAAAGGCTCGAACAATTGAGATTTTCAGAATAGAGACATACGATAAGCGACATGAAAATAAGTAATCCTGTCAAAAATAATCACTTTTTGAACTCTGCAGGAATAGTTCCATGTGCTGTTCTCCTTGTTGGCCTTGTTATCATCCCAGAATCTCCAAGATGGCTGGTAAGAAATGCTGCTTTAAACGTACATCTACTGTAGAATGATTGAAATCTTACTAAAATATATTCAGGCGAAAAATGGAAATCAAAAAGAGTTTGAAGCTGCATTACGAAGACTTCGAGGCAAAAATGCTAACATATCCGAAGAGGCAGCTGAAATCCAAGTACAGACTTCTGAAATCCTGATTTTCTTATTATTTCTATATGCAAACAATATTTATTTTCTTTGACAGGATTATATAGAAACTCTTGAGAAACTTCCAAAAGCCAAACTACTCGACTTATTTCAAAAACGATACTTGAGTTCTGTCACGGTAAATCTCTACTTTTGTTTCTTTTTTGGGATATTTGATGAGTTAGATAAGATGACACTAGACAGTATTAAGAAAGAAAAAATGTAAAATAAAGCTTGTTTATTATAATGTCCAGATTGGGGTTGGACTAATGGTATTTCAACAATTTGGAGGAATCAATGGAATTTGTTTCTACACGAGCAGTATTTTTGAGTCCTCAGGTAAGTATATGATCAATAACTTGACTCTATTTATAATCTTTTAGAGCAAAATGAAAATTTCCGATACTAATGTCAAACGAATGATCTGTATTTATCAGGATTCCCAGCCGACGTTGGAACCAGAGTTTATGCTATTCTTCAGGTCAATACCCCAACAGAAGTATCACTTTTTATGAGAGATTAGTGCATTTTTCGTTTATATTGAATATCCTTTTCAGGTCATAATCACTGCACTAGGTGCAACCTTAATAGACAGAGCAGGACGGAAACCGCTTTTACTGGTAAATCTCACTATTGAACACCATTCGGTTCTCTCATATTATTACATTATTCACTATGCAAGTTCACAATATGTCTTTTTCTTCAGGTTTCTGCATTTGGCCTCGTCCTAGGTTGTCTAATAACAGGGAGCTCATATTATCTCAAGGTAAAGATTCAACTGTTTAGGTTTCCGTTAAACCTTTCCCTTATCATTTTTGTCAAAAGATTGTCATTCGGAATGGACTATACTACGTAACAGGAGCACGGAATAGCAGTGAATGCAGCACCAGCACTAGCTGTGACAGGCATACTAGTAAGTCCACCCCTTCCCCTCGACCAAATTGGAAAGAATTCATCATCTAAGTGGAGATGATGTTCTAAAATCAGGTGTACATAGGAGCATTTTCAGCTGGAATGGGAGCAGTTCCTTGGGTAGTGATGTCTGAGGTATAATAACTCGATAACCTCAACTTCATCATACATGAACACACAATCGTTTAGTCTAATAATCATGGTTCTTGTAGATATTCCCTATAAACATTAAAGGAGTCGCTGGAAGCCTTGCAACACTCGTGAATTGGTTTGGCGCATGGGCATGCTCTTACACATTCAATTTTCTTATGAGCTGGAACTCCTATGGTAAGTAAATGTATTGATATTGCTATATGGTTCAAAACACAATTAGTTTTAGTCTAGTCTACCCTTGTAACGACTTAACCTAATGCCCAAATCGTTATATTATACTTAAGTCTCTCAATTGGTACCATAATTCAACTTAAGTTTCTCATAAAACAGAGGTCTGGAGAGAAATTCTTGAGCGTTAAGAAGGTAGATGCTTTTCTAAAACGGACAGTACGTATGATAAAACGGCTTGTGCACAAAGGTTGGATCGTTACAACCATCCCACTTCTAGTCAATACTACTTGGATTGCTTTACTCTTATGAACATCTATCTTTTTAGGTCTATTGAGAATATGTCCTGACCACATAACATTTGTACTATGATTATAGGAACCTTCATTCTTTATGCTGCAGTAAACGCACTTGCCATTTTGTTTGTGATCAAAGTAGTACCCGAAACCAAAGGAAGAACTCTCGAACAAATACAGGTAGCGATAAATGCTTCATAAACGACTCAAGGCCCAAACTTTATGAGAGACTTATTCATAAAATTATATTCAAATGTTGAACAATTGTATCATTAAAACTTTCGTCGATTATTTTCTTCGTAAACAGGGCTGGAGCCTTTTTATGGCCTAAATTCGGCTATAACTCAAAGGTCGAGCTCAACTTTAAATTTTAGCCCACCTTAAAATCTAATTCTACTTCTGTCTCTTTTATGTCATTCATTCACTCATGATTAGATAAATCGTTCATTTGAAACAAGAGAAAACGCACATCGTAAAGGAAATACACTGGCATTTTCAGAAGGAAAAATAAAAATGTAATAACTCAAAGCGTCGACAGCAGGGTACGAGCACTCAGACATGCGGACACTATTTGAGTCATTTTTAAGTCGGTAAATAATTTTCGTCCATTATTCCAAAAGCAGTAGAACTGGGCTTTTTTTTTTCAATGATTTGAAAATCGACCAAGACATTAACTAGAAAAAAGAAAAAAGGTATAGGGTCAAGTGTCATCAAACTGGTTGAACAAATAAAAGCTAAATTTTGGAGACACCCCAGCCAATTCTGATGTTCTTTTAACGAGTTCTAAATATACATCCACACAAAATTTCAGACTAGCTCTAAATTTTTTCGGTCATTAGTCTAGTTCGATTCTTATAATGTCTTCCAATTTTCTTAAGCATTTTTTTCTGCCAATTCCAACTTGTGTAAGCCTAACTCATAGGGCTGGACATGATTCAGTTCGGTTCAATTCTGAAGAGAATCGGACTGAACCGAAATTTTTGGGTATTTAGTAAGTGGAACTTTCAGGTCCAAATTTAATTATGGAACCGTTCGGATTCGGTTCCATTCAGTTCGGTTCAGTTCTATTCGGTTCCCAGGTTCCGTACTTTTTTTTTATATTTACAACAACGCTACATTAATTCGACTATAACATGTTCAATCTTAACTCTTACAAAATAACGTAGTCCAATTTAGTGATATCTTTTGCACATTTCTTTGTTGAGTTCTTCATAAATATAACTGTTAAAATCATAAGAAGAGGAAGATAGCAAGTTCACAATAATAGAATGGTAGAAACGATACTACGGTAGAATCAGAGATTTGTGTAAAATTTAGGTTAATTTGATTAAGTTGAGTTTGGCTAAAAATTGAAAATGCTAAAATCATATTTTAGGTTTGAGTTAAATTATGGGAAGTATACATAAATCCTGCTTTTACTTATACACATTTCAAAATTAAGGTTTGATGTTTTAAATTTCAAAAATCAGGTTTCTATTTAAATTTATTTATGAATTACTTAATTAATTATATATTTTATTAATAAATATATAACGGTCACAGATCTATACAATTTGGTCACAATTCAAAAATTTTAAGGTCACAATTCAAAAATTTGGTATGTCACAATTCATTCATCGGTCACAAATTAAAAATTTAAAAGTCACAATTGTTTTATCGGTCACAAATCATAAAATTTTTAAGTCACAATACTTAATTAGGTCACAATTTATCAATTTATTGGTCACAATTAATATTTTTTAGGTCACAAATTAATAATTTTTAGGTCACAATTAATAATTTTTGGTCACAGAGTATTTCTTAGTCACAATTTATTATTATTGGTCACACACCACCAAATTTATTGGTCACAATTTGTGACCACCACCAACACATCACCACCTTCGTCAACACCAACACCACCACTTCCCAACAACAAAATCCCCATTCCAATGCCGACATTTTCACCACCACACCTTCACCGCCACCGTCACGACACAGCATCACCGTCAAAAAAACCACTGCACATCCACCTCCACCGCACCATACCACCACCGCGCACAACTCACACCACCACCTCCCACGGCAATCAACCGCACCTAACCACACCCAACAGCACCAAACGCACACAGATCACAGCCCCCAAACCGCAATCAACCGCACACCGCAAAATCATCCACAAAAAATAGACCCAAACTCCGGCAACCCAAACCCCGACGCTGTTGCAGTTCGCTGCTGCGAGATCTGAGAACGGCTTTTCTTCCCCAAGATCACGAATCTCCACCTGTAGGCGATCACCCCAACCGCTGCCTGCACCACACCACAACCAAAAAAACCCCAAATCCTAGTCAAGGCCCAGACATCTGGTGGTCGTGCGATTTGCTGGTGGTTGGAATTTTATACATCGCGCTGCTGCTGCTGCGAATCGCGTCGCAGCAGCGCGATTCGCAGCATCTGTTGCTGCTGCTAGTGCGAATCGCAGCAGTCGCTGCTGCGACGCGCAGCAGCGTGATTCGCAGTAGCTGCGACGCTGCTGCGATTCGCAGCAGATGGGGGAGGGGAGGCGAGGAAGAGAAAGAGATGGGAGAGGAGAGGGGGTGGAGAGGGAAGCGTCGGCGTCGGCGGTGGCGGCGATGGGTAGGGAGGAGAGAACGTGATGGAGAGGAGAGAAGAAATGGGTAGGTTTGATTAGGTTTTTTTAATTGTGATGATAAATATATAATTAATATTTAATAAAATATAAAAAACCTGATTTTTGAAAATTTAAATGTGTGATATGATTTGTGAAAATAGAAATCTAAAAGCAGGTGTAGTTGTAATTTCCTCTTAAATTAATTAGTTAACAAATTTATGTAGAAAAAAATAAATAATTTGACTTATTTAAGTAAAAAATTAAAAACTTACAAAGATCCGATTCTTATTCGGTTCTAGGTCTAGAACTGAAAATCGAACCGAACCGAACCCGTCGATTTTTGATTTAGATACCCGTTCGGGTATTTAATTTAAGAAGAACTGCTCGATTCGATTCGGGAATTTTGTCCATCCCTACTAACTCATACAAAATACCATATTACATCCTTGACTTCCAGAATTGTAAGAAAGTACGATGAAAATATTGTAACAGAAAATGTACAATCGGATCTATAGTAAACAAAAATTGACCGAGTTAAATCCTTGCATTACTTTCGAAAATATCTACTTATAAAATCTACTTGCGCATTTTCTGAAGTTTCTAGCCTGTTTTCCCTATTAAGGGATAAACTCATAACCAAATAGGGAGAGACGAAATTAAGTAAATGTCAAATGATTTTAACTCCCCTTTAACAAAGATCACTGTATCGCTCCTCCGACGACCCGGCTCCGGCTTCAGCTTCCGACTATATACTCTTGAAGGATACTAAGAATTGCGATAACAGACAGCAATCCGCTTCTGGATCAGTGTTCTGCAAGAAGGACAATCGTTCATCCCTTGCTTTTCATGTAGCACGTTGCATTGGGTGCAAAGAACCTGATGTGCACATGGGAGGAAAACCACTGAAATTTCCTCAGTCATACACATAACACATTCCCTTTCGGGTTTGACAGTTCCAGCTCCCAAGTTGTCCTGAAAGGAGTAGAACCTTGTACCGTGACTTCCCCGAAATGTAGAGGCATAACCCGGATCAATTCCCCTTTTTAGTGCAGCTATTTTTGAAGCTTCAGACTCAAATCTCAATTCAGAGATCATATTCTCGAGCTTTTTTATGCCGTCTCTACACTTTTGGACATCAAGCTCCGCCACTTGTTTCAGGTCATCCTCCTCTGCCTTTGCTAAAGCATCCTCTTCTTCTCTTTTCATCTTGAAGGAATCAATGCGCAATACAGCTTTTCCTTTTTCTTGTTCTTCTTGCCTCCAAAGAATCTGAGATTAATTTTGAATAAGTTTCAGCTTTGATACGAGGCAATCAAATTAAATGAGAGTTGTAGAAGGCAAAAACAACTCTTTCATGAAAACTACTAGCAGAGCCCATAAACATTTAAAGTTCCAATCGTGAGATTCATAAGCCCAAATGAATTTGACTGGAAACACTGTCATTGTATATGCTTCTATTTTTTACCATTGTGTAAATGCAACACCTGACAGGACAGAACTAATATCTGAACCATTATGATTTTATGCACTAACCATCCATTACATAAGCAGAAGGTACATAAATAGGTACTGTTATTCCTGGGAAGAGCATACCTTGAAATGGTCCTTTCGTTCTTTAGTCTTTTCTAGCTGATTCTGCAGCTCAGCAGCACGGTGTTTTAGTTTAATCCGTTGCTCGAGAAACAAACCCTTCTCCATGTCCCAGGATTTGGACTTCTTCAGAGCCTCTTGCTCCCTCAACATAGCTTCCTGCAAATTAGTAGCAGACCCTAGAGCCTGCAGTTTAGCAGCCTCCATTGCTTTTCTCAATGCTGAATTCTCCTCTCCAAGTCTGTGAACAGTGGAGTTAGCCACCTCAATCTGGCCAGTGGCATTAGACAATGCATACTCCATTTCAGAAAGCCTCTTCATGGTATTCTCCTCCAAAATTTGCTTCTCCTTCTTAAATTTTTCCGTCTCTTCTTTCTCTTGCCTCAGAGTTTTCAACTCACCTTGGTCCTTTCTCAGCTTCCGAGCAGCCTGCATAACCTTCTCATTGGTCCAATCTGTCCAACCTTGGAGCTCCTTCTCAAGTGCTTGCTTATGGGGCACTAGTATCAGTAGGGTTTCCTCTTTGTCATCTCGAGGAATGTAACTCTGGAGAGATTCATCATATGGGATTGCAGCATAGTAATCAGTAGCACTAGAAAGACCAGATTTGTCAATTTTGGTGTTAGAAGAAAGTTCGGATTCTGACGATGCAGGAGATTTAGTGTCCAATGCAGGTAACGCGTGATCAGTATCTTTATGAGGCAAGATCCTTGTATCTTTAATAGGCAAGGTGCTTGTATCTTTAACAGGCAAGATGTTTGAAGGTACACTTGATACTAAATTGCTTGAAGGAGGATGACTCTTCATTGCGATACTAGAGGAATCAGATTGTGATTTCAAAGTCTTGTCCAATACCATGTTGCCCCAGGCAGCAACCTTTGCTTTGAAAGCTCCCTTAGACACACAACCCTTGTAACTTTTCTCGAAGTTAAATGCCTTCTGTCGAAGCATGTCTCTCTTGGAATTACTTGATGACCCTTTTCTACTGCCCCCTGATTTTTCATCCAAAACTGTTGCTTGGGATGAAGTCTGACTATGCTCCCTAGTGATGCCTGAGAACTTTCCCCTAGCATCTTGAAAAGAAGACGAACTTCCTTTCTTAGGTTTGGCCACTTCACTAGGAAGGGAAATTTTGGAGTTTGGTAACCGAGAGACAGCTCCAGCAGTAAGGCTTTTGGGCTGAGAACTTTGGATTGGCTGTTTCAGATTATGCGCTTTGTTAGTATTTGAATGGTTGGTGTCTGACAGGTCGGGTTTAGATTCGGGAAATGATGATTCAGAGTTTCCTCCAAGAACTTCTGGCCCACAAATACCACCAATACAACCCAAAGAATCTTGCTCCACTGCGCATGCATTTAAGAGGTTCAAATCACATAGTAAAAGATGCCACATTGCTTCAATAATAGTCAAAGATGGCTTAACCTCCAGAATAACATGTATCATTTCCAGCATTGTGTACTCTGCCAAACTCTGTAAATCCTGAAATACAGGAAGCCTCGGAAAATTGAACTCCTTTTCCCTCTTCAATAAAGCCAAAACACCATCCACAACATTTGACACTGCATCTTTATGACCATGGTATATACCCCAGTTTAAAATGACCCGCTCGGCAGTTTCCTCATTGTATCCACATTCAACAATCTTCTTCACAGCACTGTGGAAAGTCGCAAGTAAATTACTAGTTAAAAGTTTCTCGAGCTGACATGTATAAGGATCATCCCAATCAGAGGGTTGGAATTCTTCCACTTCCAGTTCCTCAACAATCTTTTCCGACCTTGAAACAAGTGACCCCAACCCACTCAAAGCATTCCGAAATTTTTCCTCCAACAACTCATATCTTGGGAATTCTGTCAGAGAAAAGGTTGATACATCAATCGGATTGTCTAGTGCCAAATCGGACAAGAATTTCCTCTTATTCCTACTTCTTTTCTCAGTGGCCGAAACATTCGATGATCCTTCACCATTCCCACGAACATTACCATTAGCACCCATTCTATTAGTTTAACATCAGACAGATTCTGTAATGCTCCAAACACACAAAAAAGCTATAGTTGTCAATGCTGTACCCGGAGCCCACTGGAAAAAAAAAACCATAAGATACTGGAAATTGTGAATTTATTCAACGCAGTAAACAACATAATCCTTAATTTTCAAGTTTGTGATCAATGCAAAAGGCACAATAATATTTGTAACCACATCAGACGCTAACTGAGAAACAAAATCAGATAACAATCAATGATTACTGATACATGTGCTCTTCCAGTGAACAAAAGCTTTTAACAAATTATAGTGATAGTAACATCGCCCAAAAAAAATCAAAAGCAAAAGCTGATAGTCTTTGATTCTCTAATAATGAATGATAAAGATAATAGCAATAGACAAATAGAGATAATCAACACAGCCCATGTCAAACAGAATAAAATTTCACAGCTCATATCAATCCAAAGCGGCATCTCATGGCATTCAAGAAAGCAAACTTGTTAATCAAACAAGTCATGGCAACAACATCAATGGAGATCCCACATTCGGGGCAATCAAGAAAGCAATAATTCTTGGCAATCTGGACTATAAACTCATGGCAATTAGAAAAGCAAACTTGCCAATCCCAGAAATTATAGCAACAAGGAGAATAATTTTTCAGAAATTATAGCATATTCACAGGAAATTTCTTTTCCATTTATAAAATAGCGTAACGCTTCATTGAGCATGAAAAGAGTGAATTAAAGTTTCATTCACACATTTCTCAAAATTTCTCATCTCTTACACTCAAATTCGTCAAAAATAACATTGGAACATAAAATTATTATTTCGCGATAGAATTTGACAAGCCAACTCAGCCAAACAAGCAAAAAATCACACAATAAATCGAACGAAAAAAAAAAGAGAAAGAAATCATCAGAAAATCCCAAGAAAAAAAACCAATTTAACGTGCCCAAGCTCAAAGACCCTACAAAAAATAACCCAAAAAAAAAAGAAAGAAAGAAAAAATAGTCACCACAACGTAGAATCCAAATAGAAGGAATGCAAATAGGAAAAATAAAAATTAAAAAAAATCACAAACACATCAAGAAATAGCAAGAGTTGAATCAATCAATCAAAAGGGTACTCACAAAGCGTTATGAATTGAAAAGGGGCTGTCAGCGTCGGAAAAAGACACGCTCTTCTCTCTCGCTCACTATGTAAGTGTTGTACGGAATCTTTTATATATATGCTGTTTTCCCCAACCAAATGTGGGGTTAAACCTTGCCTTACTCTCCAACAGGTATTGACTGTCTGTGGGTTTAACTTTAACCACAGATTAGGGTAAGAAAATGAAAAGAATATCTGCCAATTTGATTTTCTAAACCCAATTGGTAGAAAATCTTGATGCTTATTGATAGTTACTACTGTGAATCAGAATTACTATAGCTAATTGACTCGAGTTGAGATGGGGTTTATTGAGGCCTTTTTTCAGCCGAAAAGCAATGAATTGAGTCAACATTTTAGGTTATTACATAATAAATCTGTATCTAGACGTCATTGATTTGATATCTGATGCTGGAAAGAGATGGCATTTTCCTGGTACGGTCGAGGAATTGGATCTCGTCCTTGTATATACTCCAATGCGAGAATGAGTTACTAATTCAAGAGAAAAGTTCAAAATTTATTTTTACTGAGAAATAGTTTTAATTCTTTTCTAAGAAGGTTCGTTGATACATTCCTTAGTTCAAGGAGCTCCATTTTATAAACGTTTATGGAGCAATTTAAATGTTGATGGATTTGGTTAGCAGGGTTGGACAAGTGTCGCATCTCTCCCGAACAACGTCCTTCAAATATGGGAGAAAGCATACTCATTTAGTGAACGTGGGTTGACAACCAACACTAAATTGTGTTTGGTGCCATCCGTGAACTTTATTGATGTTAGATAGATCTATTCGGCTCCTCTGTAAGTCGTCCTTGGATGTTCGACTTTTGGTGCTATCGATCTTGTATCCTACGCTGATTGTTTTCCTCAAGTGATCAAGCCAAGATCGTCACTCTTCTATGCCATAATTGAACTTGATTTCCCCTAGAGGAGAAGGTAACCTTATAATATTTTTAAAGTTGGAATTTCAATTACGAAAAGTTATAATAGAAGTAGATTCATTTATGATATGAAAAATATTGAAATCAAAATTTCTGTTGACATAGGATAATTGAAATATAGAGAGAAAAAAATTATAGAATGATTAAATTCAACTTGATACTACCAAAAATCGTACCTGTCGACTTCGGAGTTTGACGACTGAGAATGAACACGAACGAGATCTTCCGGTATCTGAAACAAATGTGTCGAAGTGTGTTTTCGTCGCCCCTCCGATACTTAAGTCAGAGAGAGTATTTGTGAAAGATATGTGCTAGAGAATTATATATAAAACGTACCTTAATAATGAATCGAAATGATGTATTTATAGAGGTTGGGTGACACAGTCCTAATAGGATCACAATGTTGAGATCACTAAGAGTTCTAACATAATTTGAAGTTCTTACTTGATTGGTTCGTATTATTCACATGTTTGGAGAGAAGTGGAATTCTGATGGTAGAATCATTTTAGGATGAAGTAACATACCAACACTAGGACTCTCACTCTTTCGGGTTCAGATAAGCCTTGATACGGGGGAGAATCTTACTGAGTCGAGGGCTGTGCGGTACTAGGTTCAGTCATATTCTCGAGGACAGCACAACAGCCGAGGAGTAATTCTTGATGAGTCATGCTCGAGGAAGAAAACGTAATGGTGGTACAAGTTGGAAAATTACATCCTCGGGCTTCTTCCTCGAGCTAAACCAATTTTGAGATCACCACAACCTTTTGTGAGTATGAAGAAATTTGGTAACTAGACGTTATTAATAATTAGATTGGATCGAAAAATTTGTAAAGTAAAAAGTTATAAAAATGAAAATAGAAATTGATTCATGTTGTATAAGGAAAATATTGAAATTGTAATTGTTGTCCCTGTGAAGAGGAATGATAAATTCTTTGGTTAATCTCGTCCCACCTTTCGAAAATGTCCAACGGCAAGTGTTGTCTTGAGCTTATGTCATCCCTACTTGTGAAATCATAATTATCGATGTGATCTATTTCCAATTGTAAAATAATAATGTTTCAAGTTAACTTCCTTTTACATAAATATTAACAAATTTGATATCTAGATGTCGTTATTTGTTAGAATCAAAATATTTAGCCTTTCCTTCTCTGCGCCATTCTCATCCCGAATGTTGAACTTTACATGTAAATGACTGTATTTACCTTCCATATAATTTTCTTACATAACTTTTCTTGGTTTCTAATAGGAAAGAAACGATTGTGATATATATTGAAAACATATTAGGATGGAAGGAAGGTAATATTCAAATAATTAGCAAGAAAAGAAATCATTCAAAATTGAAAAGGAACATTTTCATAGAGTTTTCTTATCTTTGCTTTTGAGTCTCAACCGTCACTCATTTACAAAATTTTGTGCACGTACTTGGCATGTGAAAGCACGTCCCATGACAATTTAAATAAATGAATTCGTCTCAGTAAGTTAAGTTTAACTTAAGTTGATTCAATGTCATACAAGTAGAAACAAAAGATACATAAAATGTGAAAATTCATATCAATGCACTATAATAAGAAGAGATTTTATTATAGCAACAAAGTTGCATGTTGTTACTTGCAAGAGAAATCAAAACCTTAATCTTTCCAATTCTGGTACTTGACAGCAGAGGATCAAAAAAAGGAAGCAGACAGAAATATATAGTATCTCATCATCCTTTCCAATTCTGGTACTTGACAGCAGAGGATGGAAAAAAGGAAGCAGACAGAAATATATAGTATTTCATCATCTCCAAATCTGTATCCCAAAATGAAAAAAGGAAAAAAGAAAAAAATAAGATAAGTTCGTCTTTTTTGGGATCAAAGCTTAAGTTTCTGTCCATGCTTCTTTCCTACTTTGTATGAATGATTCAGCCTTTTGATTTATGTTTGAGGGCACACTCATAAAAACCCATGGCCGCCTCGGAGGCATTGGTTTTGTCTCTTCATTTGGTTTATTCACCTTTGTTCCTTCAACTAAAGGATTAGTACTATCTTTGCTCCTAAAACCATTTTTCTGCCCTTTTGTGCCAACAGCCTCTCTCTCGTGGGACACTGGACTACGCTCCTGGCTCCGTCCCTGCTCCTGGAGGCCATTATCTCGAGTTTTCTCATCAAATTTCTCCACGGCTCGAAAGCTGGCAGAGTTGCCTTTCCGTTGCTCATCCATTAAGCTTGACGCATCTTTCTTTGGAACGTGAATTGAAGAACCATAATCGTCAACTCGGGTCTCCCAATTCTCCTGTCCACCAATGTGTCTGAACTCAACTAAAATTTCAGAGGCAGCAGAAGATCCATCAGCCCTTGATGGCCTAATGGAACTTTTTCTGTTATCTATCAACGAACCTTCTTCAATGGGAACTTCAACAGATCGACGAGAAGTGGGATGACTCAAAACACTAGAAATTAAGTTCATAAACCTTTGACAAATGCCTGTAGGCTGAGAATGCTCATCCCTTTTCTGCATTTTTTGTCGAAATGAATGTGATAGACAGTTAGACACAGGCACACAGCAATATTCAAGAGTTTCAAAGTGTTTATCAACAGAAAAGATTAGCTTGTCAGTATGATTCTATTCTATCCTTTGAAGTGGGGGTAACAAAAAGCAGAATGTGAATCTTTCAATTGTATCATAACTTTCTTTTACACATCCAGAGCTTAGCCATTATTTCATTGGTTTCACTTGCCTTTTATCTAGTCAAAAGCATAAACAGCTTGCAAGAATATATATCCACATCCCTCTGATACCAAGAATAAATATGCCTTTCTTGAAGCATTGTTTCATTCCCAAACAGTAACTACCCACTAAGTCTTGCTTGTTAAACGAAGACCTAACATAGACTTTTCACAAATAGGCAGTGGTTGTGCTTAAATTCAAGATCTTTGTATTCTATGAGATAATGTTGAGATACCTCGTGTAATGTAACAAAACACACCCTTGAAAGTGGATTGAAAGGAAAGGACAGTAAGGAAAGGATGCGTCCATTCTTTAACTTAGCAATGTCGGATATGTCATTACATTCTACCCCTCCTGACTTCCACGGCATCTCATATTCCCATCTAAGTGATTCCATGAACAAGTCTTCTGCTAGAAGTACTAGTCTCTAGGACGCGGTCCTCAGCAAAAATATCCCAGAGAGGTATCTGCTTTGATAGCAACTGTAACAACCACATCAGCTACAACTCACTCTTAAAGCCGGCTTATACGTGGAGGTGACCAACTGGTTATAAACCCACAAACCAAATTACCTTAGCAATCTGGAAACAAAATTGAATTATCACACCTCGTCTAGAAGTTCAGTCTGACGCGAAATTCACAGCCTCAACGGTTTTTTAGATTATCAGTTGAAACGAGCTGATAAATTCCATATACTGGTTTTCAGGACATCAGTTGATAATGAAGATGACCATTTTGGTTTGCTGGATGAAAGACAGAGATAATTGCTTTTCAATATTATTTACTTAATGTGAAGAATTATAAATCATATCACTCATGGATGGGAGTGTGAAAATTGTAAAGACAACTTTTTTAGGCACAATGTATGATCGATTTTATCTCTTTTAAAACTATATAGAAAATTAAATCAGACACAAAATAATAAAATAGGAACACATTCCTTTAGTCGAACCAACCGAAACAAGTGAATAACTATCTATTTTAAAGATTTGACAGTAGAAATGTGAAAGATTTAATGGACAAAGCACGAAATCAACTGTAGCTAATTAATTGTGCTTGATAAATAGAAAAAAGGGAAAATGTAACAAATATATGGTAATGTAAAAAAGACTGCATCCGAGAGAAACTCCATACGCTACAAAACTCAACTATCTGTTACAACTAATCCACACTCCGTTCAATGTTCAAGCTCTCAACTATTTCTGGAGCCTATCAGCATCGCAGGAAATGTATAACAGCCAACACTAACAGATTAACTTACAGAGATTTCCCTTCATGGTTGCTGCCCGGATCAGAAGTCCTCTGAGTTTTTTGCATTTCAACACGGGACGGTAGTGCAAGACATCGTCCTTTCTGAGCACGCGGTGGAAGATGTTTTGCTGGTTTCCTTGATCCAACGGTCCAGGGCAAGAAAACGCCGGTACCACCTTGTGGAATTCTTCGAGGACTCAAAATCATTGGACGCATGGGAGACAACATAACCATAGGAGCCCCAAGGATGTCCCATTTTGGGATCATATCCATTGCCTTGTAGGGACTAATTGTTCCATTTGAGACTGCGTATGGAGTTTGGACATCGGATTGCCATAAGGTCATTGCTCCTGTGGAAGGGGTTACCTCGGTGTTTTGTGTCTCCATCCGGACTCTAAAGAATGTGATGGTCACCCTCTTGTTCGGTGAGGAGCTCATAACATGTCTTGCTGTATCAGAACTATTTCCCCTCATGACCAAAAGTGACCTGTCAAAATTTTTTGAATCAAATTGACAGCAGATATGTTTTGTACGCTTACGTATCAAACATGAGCTATATGTACAAGTTGTCACATACCCTTCCTTGAGAGAGAGCATGAGTGGTCCTTTATAATTTCCTTCATTATCACTGACAATTGTTCGACCAAACGCCATTGCTGACTCGGAGAGAATGAGGGTCGAAACGGGCTGGTCCAAATGAGGTGGTTTTAGAAAAGGCTGAGAATATTCCCCCTACACAAACCAGAAAGCTGAATCAGTTACACTATTAAATTCACTGTTAAGTGAAAAGAAGAGTTGAAGAAGAAACATTTATACCTCATCGAAGAAGTTAATGATGCAGCTATTTGGTTTGCGATTTTCTGAAATCAAATGCCACTGGATCAAGTGGTTAATAACCCCTTGTAGAAGTGCTGGAATTGGCTCAATGTTGCCTGTAAATACATACATTAAAGGAAAAAATAAATTAATCGGCCGAACATCTAGTATCGAAATACAACGCTTCCATACTCTTCTGCAATTTACCTTTTGCATCGTCTTTTATCTGTCCGAAAATGGGAATTCCAAGCTGAATTAATTCTCTCTTCTTTCCTTTCACTTGCTGGTTGTATAGAATAAAGGTCTCGCCTGATATGAATTTAAAATACTTAATCAGCGCTAAATGAAGTCATCGAGATATCACTTTCACCACAATAAACTGCATATCAAGAATTAAATAAACAAACTGGCGAGGTAAATAATGCAAAATAGCCTTCCAAGATGCATTTGAGAAATCAGACAACCTTAAAATTTTGGAATTATTATTTATTCTTATTTGGCAATGAAGTTACAGTGGTGGTCTAGTACAATCAACAGAAGGTAGCAATATTTAAACTTGCTGTAAAAATAATGCTCAAACCTGCTGCAATCATAACTATAGAAGATGCCCTTTACAATCTCAAAACTTCTGGCCCAAAAGGAAACAACTAGTTTAACTATAAAAGCATCACGAATCACGGGATCCACCTGAGAGTTCACCGTTCTGGCCAGCAACTCGGAGCTCATTCACAAAGTCATTCAATTTAGAGAGTTCGACATCAGTGAATATGTCTTCATACAACTTGAGACCTCTAACAACATTAACCTGTCAGTCGTAATATACAGTTGATGAGCACACTTGCAGCATATGTTATAACATATAATGTCAACTGAAAGCATGTTTCATTAAGCTTAAAGGTCACCTTTTTAGGTAACTCTTTTTTTGTAGATTTGAAGTACAAAATCTTACTTTAAAAAGAGTAAGCAATTGTAACTCACCATATGGCCTTTCACGGGTTCCTTCGCTAAGAACCCTTTTGTCATCTTGATCTGTTCATGACGCACCTCACACTCTTCATGGTTAGAACATATATCGACATGTTCAAGAAATGGCTGCACTTCTTGAGATCCTATAATGCAGAATAGAACAGAATGAATGTATTTTGTATCTTAACAATAATTAAAGAAGAGTCTATTAAAGATTTGAAATTGTAGAGTACAGTTTTGGGAGGGTAAAAGGGGAGAATATGTGAACTGTTGACCACAACAGAATAAAAGCTTTTCACATATTTGACAGGGAGGATTGAAAGCGATACACTGTATTAAGGTAAAAAATCAACAAAATCTCATTAATTATATAGTGCAGTCATCTTCAGTACTATATATCAAATATGCATGTGTAATTTTAAAACTGTTTAGCATCCCATAAGATTAGATTCAGAAATAATTCATACATAATAATTGAAAGATCAAATTTTGTGGCACAATGAAGTATTGAAAAAGCATGATCATTTCTCTCTTTTTTTGAAAAAAAAAAAAGACCAATTCAATAAAATCAATGATAACAGAGTTGCCAGGATACAATAAAAGCAAATAGATTCTCAAGATAAAAATAATGAGGTCATAATTTCATCAATCAATTAATTATTTTTATTTTTAATTAATGAAGGCCAGCCAAAAGCTGTTCACTAAAGGACCATTTCATTTTCCTTGGGACAAACGACGGTTCTGCAAACACTGAACCTCGGACTTTGGACTTGCCACCCAATTGTCAATAAAATTCTCTTATTTAATAATAAGTTAAAATTTCATTTAGTGCCTGTTTGAGTCCATTTTTGGCCTAGAACGCATTTTGGAATAGCAGATTGATAAATAATGTGTAGTTAAAAAAATAAGGAAAAGTTTTGAATTTGCGTCTAATATTATTTTGTTGAAGAATGTGTAATTGAAAAGAAGAGAAATAAAAATATATTTTGGAAATAATGAGGATCAAACAAGGGTTTATTATCAATTTTATTCAGTGTTATAGAAGAGATAAAAATTCGGGACTTTCATTTTTAAAAATTGTATAATAGGAAAGCACTAATTTGATGTACCGCATCCACTACGGTACCAAGATAAAAATAAGAAAGCACGACCTCTGCACCAAAGAAAAAACACTAGTGTAGTGTACCAATAAGTACCATGCTGTCTACAAGTGATATAAACTTTTAAGGATATTATTTTGTTCCCTACTTGCACCACATCAAAACAACACGAATTATAGCGTGGCAATGTAAATCTTTGAAGCATTAACTTTATCATCCTAAAAAATGCACGTCTTGTGCTTATCAATGGCCAATGGGGTCCGCATTATCTAGATCAATGCTAAAGACCAGTACTATATAGATTATTCAAGAAAAAATAATGACACACCTCCCATTCTGTCGCAACCAGTATCGCACGACGAAAAAGTTTAGGAACAAAAGTGTTAACATCATTACAAATAGAATGACTAAGAGTGCCTATAACACTTTTTTTGGCACAAATCAAAAGAATATTCCGTCTGGCTGCTTCTGTAAGGCCCACACATAAAAGTCGCCAAACATCATGTTCATGGCCAACAATCAAAGACGAGTTCACTCAGGTCAAACTCGTTGAAAACTCCGAGTTACTAGAACGAACCAACCTAGGGATCCGAAAATCCAAAAAGAGTTCAGAAATTTCAAAGCCCTATTTGGGCCTATTAGTAATCCAACCAGGCGCAGCCATGACGTCCGTCAAACCAAATTAAAGCCGGCCATTAAATAGTCAAAAAAATTAATTTAATGATTTCAGTGACGTATCACGCATCTCCAGGTGTACCTCCCCGATTCAGCTCCTCTCTCTCACGGTATTTGCTATTCCCGGAACTAACAGTGAAATGTGAATCGGGTGGGTGGGGGCTCCGTGTAAGACGATCACAGAGCAGGAGTGCAGGACTTTAACACACTTTCCCATTTTGATTTTCTCAATCATGGGAAATATCACCCCTATTTAGTATTTATTTCTATTTTTGTTAAAAAAAAAACAGAAATTTGTTTTCTAAGTGGAAAATTGAGTAAAATTCTGGATTGTTCAACTGCAAGAATCAAATTCAATCAATACCAAAGTTAGTTTATTGAAATATGGAGATTTGGATAGAAATTTAAAAACAGAACATTTCGATTTTTCTTCAAATTTCCGGGAATCAATCCAATTTTTGGTATGATTATACTGAATATCAGGGGGAAAAAAAGAGAGAAAGAAATGCATCCAGCTATAAACTACAAAAAAAATGATTCATAAGCACGAAGGGGTCACAGATTTTTTTAAAAAAAAAAAAAATTATTTTGGAAGAAATGCATCCAGCAATAAACTACAAAAAATTGATTCATAAGCACGAAGGGATCACAGATTTATTTATTTGCAGAAATTAATGCGAATGAAGATCGGGATTTTAAATACTTACCTGTATCCGTAATCTCACTTTCACGTGAATCATCCTGTGTAAAATCTTCAACCGCGGGTTCTACTCCACCATTTTCATTACCCTCCTCTAATTCCTCCACGGAACTTTCTAGAGATTTCTCGGAAAACGTACCGTTCACCTCTTCAATTTTCTTTTCGTCCACCTGCCTTTCTTCACTCTTTTTGGCTTCCACTTTCTGAAGTTCCTTTGTGACATCAGCAATCGAATAGTATTGCTGCATCTGGAGGATCGGGATCCAGTTCAGCCTCCTGCAGTGAATAGCACCGAACAAAGACTCATACTCTGCCGGTACACCACCTTCAAGTTGCCTCAGGTGTTTGCACAGCGCATCAATGATAGCGTTAGCAGCCGCAAACTCACCTCGGAACCATGCAATGATAGCGTCCTTTGCGAAAGCCTCCGGCGCCGTCGTCATCACCACGCCCGGCGGCGGCTGAGGCTGCTGCACCATCGCGGGCATAACCTTTACCGGTACCCGATCTCCATGCGCTACTACACTGGCCGCCGGCGGCATCTTCAAGCGTGATTTTCAGTGAAAAAAATGGGAATTTTTTTTTTTCTTCTCTCTATCCTGTTGCACTTTTGAATGCTGAATCGGTATGTCAATATGGTATAGTTCGTTACGTTTAAGCCTATATTTCAGTGAAATTTTCGGGCTTTATAGAAATTTCTAATAATGAAAATGTTTAAAAGCGAAAAAAAAAAAATCGGAAAAGAAAATGTTTTTTGATGAAAGAAGGGGTTTGGTTTCGGGGAGGTATGGGTGGGTGGGTTTATAAGAATTAATTTTAACCGCACAATTTTTGGGATTCACGATTTTTTAACTATACATTTCATCAATTTTTATTAAAATTTACTTAAAATTCGATTTTAATCCATACGAAAGAGGAGCTAAAAATGAATTACTGGGGGACCACATGCCACGGGTCAAGAAAAAAATTGATGACCTGTAAAAAAAAATTTGCTAGTTGAAAATATTTGAAAAAAAAAAATTGCACCTTTGGACCTCAATTTATTCCCACAATAAAATTAGTAAGAAAGTTCAAAACTACTTGTCTTCAACGACGGAGACCATCAATTTTTTCATTAAAATTTACGTATGACCTTCTGGAAACATGTCACATCAATATTGAATTTGGTGAACTAATTCAATTCGAAATCAACTTGAAACCTGATTAAGCTGTAAGTCGAAATTCATATATCTAAATTCAATTATAAAGGATAAGGATCGATCAGATACAAAACCAACTAGTACATGCAAAACTTCTGTTTTTTATTTATTTTTAAAATTTTATAAGCCCAATTCAATCATTTACCTTTAACTATTCCAATCAGCCTTCGTCAGTTCTTAAACACATTGTTTTTAGGCAATGTGTTGTAAGGCAAAATGAGCTTCATAAAATCAAAGAGGATAACATCAAATACGTTTTGTATACGAGGATTGATTTTGTATTATAATGAAAAGTTAAGAGAAAACGTTTTATACTTTAATGTGTTGAGGACTAACTTATTACTAGGATATTCGATTAGATACTCGTTGTGCAATTATTTGTTCGATTTGAAGGTTTGGTGGCTCGTGTTGGCATTTTTAATCCATATGTGTGGAAATAGTTGAATGGTATAAAAAGTTGTTGAGAAGAAATGGTGCACGTGGAAGATTTGACAAATATTTAATGGAATTAAAATCAAATTTTTAGCTCCCATTTGAGACACATTATTTTTTCATTCACATTCTTCTACTCATTTTCAATCATATATTTTTAATAAAATAATATTTTTCATCACATCAATAATTTTTCCTTATTTTTCAATCACATAAAAAAAAATGTGTTCTTTGAAAAAAAATGTGCACTAAATAGGAGCTTAGGGTGCGTTTGATTGCAATGGTGGAAAATAGTTGTAAATAAAATGATTTTCAGGGAAAATAATTGCCTAAAAAATATTTTGTAGGGAATTGTTAATTAAGTGTGTTTGATTGGTATAATTTTCCACCCGAAAAATTTTTAAATTTTCTATTCGTTTGACTTTGTTTTATATGGAAAGTGTCTATTAAAGTGATAATTTTTTTCATAAAGTGAAATTTTTTTCACAATTGGTTATAAAACTTGTTTCCATTGTCAAAAAGTCAAAAAAAAAAAAAGGAAAAAAATTGTTTCCTAAAAAATCATTTTTTTAAATCAAAGTTTAGTATTCGTTTGACTTTGTTTTACACAGAAATTGTCCATGAATGTGAATTTTTTTTACAATTGGGTATGACATTTGTTTCCATTACAAAAAAAAAAAAAAAAAAATTTGCAACTAGCCTGGAAATTTTTTTCCCACCTTTTATCAATTACCCGGAAAATGCACACGTGTGGGGGGTAAGATGAAAAATATTTTCCTAGTTCCCTGAAAAATCCGTCCAATCAAACACGGCCTTAGTATATTTTGATAGAACTTCACGAAAAGTTGTAAGATCCATAATATATGTAATTTTAATGAATTGTTGACTCTGAGTTAAATTGAAATTTAGATTTTAATCGGTACCAAACAAGAGTCGAATAAGGTTATTCATAATCAACTGCATAATCCTATGTGTCAATATTGAGACATTGCAATGTTATTTTAGGTAACAAAATTACATAAAATTAATGTTTCAAATAACCAAATAAAATGCCACGTATGACGACTGCAAAAAAAAAAAAATTATTCTTATTTAATAATGCTTTAAATAATAAGTTGTACACGAGATGACTACTGACAGTCGTTGATTATAAATAGTATTACTCTTTAATTAATATTGAGTCCAATAATTTTAGCATTTACTTGTATTAGTAGTATCAAACATAATTATAAAAGAACGTATTTGAACCACATCATTTTGGAAGAATTTATTTTGGAATAGTAGATTGATGGAGAATGTATGGCTGAAAAAGAAGGAAAAATTATTGATGTGATGGAAAATATTATTTTATTGAAAAATGTGTGGTTGAAAATGAGTAGAATAATGAGAATGAAAATTTCAATATGGCTCAAATATGAACTAAATACCACAACTAGTGTTTAGTACCAATCTACGTGTCCAATAATTTAAATTTGTAGGGCAAGGAATCATTAAGGATCACTCACACCTAAACTTGTTATACCTAGCATTGTTATAATCGCCAACAAATTATCTGATTGCATAGTTGTGTCAACTATGAAAATGATCTTGAGGGCCCTAAAGCCCCAAACCAACGAAAATTGAAGCCTTTTGATCCACTTTTCAAAGTTTTGTTACACTCTTCCTTTTTACAATATAACATGATATTATTGATTATATAACATTTCATAGAACCATAAGTAAGGTTCTTTTATCACATCAGCAGTAAGAAATTTTTATCTTACTTATTGGAGACATAGATGATTTTCATTCAACATTAATGTCAACAAGAAGACAAGTCAAGTCTCCTACGAGAACTCATATAATATTTTCTACACATGTCGAGCTTGGCTCTCTCTAGAAATTGTAATTTTGATCGACTTAACCAGATTTTCACCTCTGACGCTCATTTAATCAACGAATATTTTAAAAACCTACTTTACATAAAATATATGATTGGAAACATCGAAAATGCCAGCATCGTTAACAAATATTAAAGTTGACGATGATAAAAAGTAATCCTCTATCCTTGGCCAAATTGAAAAAAGAAAAAGGAGAAAAGACACAATGTACAAAAGCTAAATTTGGGATACCTTCAAATGGACTAATGGAGTACTAATTTTTTACTTAAAACTATTCCATGAAAAGCTAAGAGAATAAAGGCAACTTCACCCTGAGCACAAGTTAAAAGTGTTCTTTTCTAGCAGAAGCTAATGTATTTACTAGCTAAGAGAGTAAAGGCAACTTCAAAAGCTAACAACCTACCTTTGGTAGTTGGCAGTCGGCAGACACGCATCTTTATACTTGTGAACACAATTAATCGACATTTATTTATTTATTATATATTAAGGTGTAAAATAGTGTATCGTGATAGAACTACGAACTTGATTGAGTAATGCTATTCATCGAGATTATAGATGATTCTTGATTTATGTGGTCATGGGATTACTGCCACACTGCCTAATGAAATCTGAATGCAATTTTATGTTTTGGATAATATGGTCATGCCGCGTAGTTCGATATTTATCTAGACACTAAATAAGTAGCATTATTATTTTAGAAAAGTGTTGTAGAATACGAAAGTATATATTGATAATTGAATTTCGAGAACTAAACCGTAAATAAATTCAAGATGCATGGAAGAGAAACAATAAAATTAGATACTCACATAAAGAGAATCGTAGGATATCAGATAATATCGAATGTTTTAAAGTGGGAATGGGCATCGACTTTAAAAATATTTAGGGTCAAAGGTTGAATCGGCATCATAAAATTAAAATAAATGAATAAAAAATCTTCTTCTTTGAATAACTAAAGCAGTAAAAATTGAGTTTATGACAAAATTTTCCTTGTTATCATGTTAGCTCTGTGGTTGTTTTAATGGGTTTTTAAATATTCCAATTTTTAGAAATAATCAGACAAAATCTTAGATCGATTTTCAATCCGATTCACATAATAATGAAAATATCCTTAATAAGTTTAGGATAATGCAATGTGTACACAATCTTTTACACCCCTTCGCATGGAGGGGGCCCACAAATATTTTATTGTGTGTGGGCCCCCCCCTCCATGTGGGGGAGGGAGGAGGGTAAAAGACTGTGTAAAATATTGTGTACACATAGCATAATCCATAAGTTTAAGACAACGTTAGAGGAAATTAAGCTAATTAAGGAATGGACATTGGTTTCAAACCCTTGGTGGTGGAGATCACAATAAGATTTTTAGTGAATTTTGATAAAAAAAAAATTAATAAAATATGTGATTGAAAAGTTATAGATCATATATGTGATTAAAATTAATGGTTAACTTAAATTAAAATTTAGATTTTAATTCCTAGTAAACAGAGTTCAGATTTCATTTGGACGTGTGTATTATGTATATCTTTATACCAGTATTCTATGGTGAATTAAATTAGGTGTACTCGAAGTGACATTTCATGAAAAATCTGTTTCATTAATTGTTTAAAGTATTATTAAAATTAATATATAAAAAGTTGTCACCTCACAACAATGTCAAACTTGATATATATGTAGTAAAATTGTTCTATGGGCCTACGTTGAAGCTGGCCAACGAATAATGAAAACGGGCAGTTGGGTCCTAGGAGAACGAGTGCGTACACTTTCTCTATTGGGAGTCATCAAAGGAGTAATGGGCATTCGATAAACCAAAGAAAAACAACCATCGCTGCGTAGCAGTGTAGAGTAGTAACCTCTATTTGGAGTGAATTCTGACCGTCCAAGGAGCGCATTACTCACACGCGATACCCCTTTGCCACCCACCGGTGGCGTAGGATAACATTTCCACCAACTTGTTATAATACAAGCCGGCTAAGCCTAATGCTGAAACCCGTGACTCAGCTTGGCTTCACATTTCGGTACCGTAGTACTATAATC